GGGTCGGGTCGGGTCGGGTCTGGGCTCGGGCTCGGGCTCGGGCTCGGGCAGAGAATCTAAACTCTAGAAGAAAAGAGGAAAGTAAAAAAAAGAAAATAACGAAAAATATAATAAAACACTATGAACAGGTTAAAAGGCCAGTCAAAAAAAGATGGCTTTTGTCATTGAACATGTTAAGCTGTCAGCTTCTCTGATGTCTCCTGGCAGTGAGTTCCACAGTTTTGCAGTGTAATGCTTAAAAGCTGCCTTAGCACTGTGTTTGTTTGAAATACACAGAAGTCTAGCATTGGTAGATGGCGGAGTTCTGGTGGGAGTTCTGGTGGGAGTTCAAAAGGTAAGAAGGTCAGTAATGTATGAAGGTGCTGGTCCATTTAGCGCTTTATTAGCAAGTAAAAGAATCTTAAATTAAAATCAGTTCTAAAAGATACGGCTACCCAGTGGTGGGAATACAAGATTGGTGTAATATGATCCGTATCTCTTAGTTCTTCTTAATATTCTGGCAGCAGCATACTTGTAACTTATAAGTAGTTGTTTTCGGCAAACCAATGAAAAGGGAATTGCAATAGTCAAGGTGACTAGCAATAAAAGCATGTAACAATTTTTCAGCATCATTAGGTGATTAAAAAAGTCCAATCTTTGCCAAGTTCTTCAGATGGTAACATAATATATTGAATGTGGATTTTAAAACTTAGCATTACACCAAGTTTTCTAACCTCAGATTTTGCCTGTGATATCACACAGTCAAGCCTTGACTTTATCTTTTAGTACCTGGGGACCCAACCCATTAGAATTGCTTTTGTTTTTTCTTCATTAAGTTCATTAAGCTCCCAGGAGGCTTGACGGGCTGTAGGTTTTCAAGGTTTAAGTGCCCGGATGGGCAGAGGCCCAACGGTCGATAAGTAACCATCTATGTAAACAGCAGTAGGTTGGAGGGGAGATGTGGGGGGGCTGTGGAGACAGCTAATGCTGCATTCCAGCTCAGAAATTGTGAGTCCCTAGTCTGAAATTGGAATGCCCCCTGAAGTCAGAATTCCTACTCGTGAAGTTGGAAGAATCTACGCAACTGTGAGCCAAGAATTCATGATGGCTGCGCCTTTATCATCACAGGTTAAAGCTGTAGTTTTATACTGTCTATTGGCACTTATGTCTTATTTGTGGCTAATTAAATTAGTTGTACATACAGTACTGTCCAACCGCTAACTGTGGATGTGTTGCTACTGTGTTTTTTTTGTGCAAAATACCGCGTAATGTGTTACCAACTGATATTGCTAACAATTGCAAACAATTAACTGGGGCCTGATTCAGAAAGCAGGATTTCTTGCTTAGCCAGATAACATTTCAGATTTAAGGTAGTCTAGGATTACAAGCTGCGCTTCATTCCCACTTTTAAAGAGGTACTATATTATGTAAGTGAACAAAGATAAAGGTAATTTAAACTTGGGTACCTTAAGTCAGATAAGTTATCCAGCTAAGCAAGAAGTCTTGGTCTTTGAAACATGTTCCTGGTGTCGCTAAATGGCTTGCTACTTGCTGTACAGAAAAGGGGTTAACTTGGGTGTGATGTCATTCCCAGTTCCGAGTTTCAACCTTGGAACCCAGCATAACTCTGCTCAGACTTATGGCAGGGGGTGGTGTTAGACATGCACCCTCATTTGCTCTGAACTCGCTCCTTACGCCCCCACAGGTCCTTCAGCAAGCAGAGGGCTGCTGTTGAGAAGGAGTACGGCCAGGTGAGAGTTCCCTTTGTTTTGGTTGGATTTTGGGTGTGTGTGTGTGTGTGGCAGGGGGGGGGGGTTCACCTGATCCTGCTCAAAGCTGATTGGTGGAGGAATTCTGAGGCATTGGTTTCTTATGTTCTCTCTGATTGGGAGAAGCAGGCAGGGTGGGTGGGGCTGTGGTCACATGTTGCAGCTATTCAGCCCTGATAGGTTTGTCATAGACAGCAGACAAGGGTGGCGCCTAAGATTTTGCTGATGCCATTGGCTTGCTTGATTTTTCATTGTGGGTGCTCTGAAATTTAGGATTTCCCTTAAATGTGCTGGTCACTGCAGTTAATTTTCTGCCGCAACACCCCCGACACACGTACAGAGACATGCACCCAAAAGCAGTACCCACTCTGCGACTGTTACCGTGACATTTAGTGTTATACACAAGGCAAGATATGAAATTATAGTAATTGCACATTAAAAATGAAAAAATCTAAAAAAAACCCCAGAAATTTGCGGGTACTGAGGAGATGCTTTGGCTGTCACTGGGGTAGCTACTGCTCCCCCAAGCCCCTCTCTGGTATCACTCCTTGCAGCAGGTCTTTGTTCGTGTATCACTCCTGGAGGTGTGTGGTTTCAGCAAAAATCATGCCACATGATTGGTTGCCCTTGAACTGTGGAATGTGTGTGTGTGTGTGTGTGTGTGTGGGTATTTTTCCCTCTCAGAAAGTATTATTGATCATAGTCCCAAAAATATCCTGCCCTCTGCATTAGGGTGTTTATTGATTGTCCTTCTGAGGCTTGTGCTGGTCAAGGGCCCCTCCCTGGTATCCCACTGATGTGGCTGTTCTGTCGTGGCTGGGCTCGAACCGGCGACCTTCCCATCACAGGCGCAGAGGTTTGGCTCACTGAGTCGCACACTGCCCCCCAAAGGTGAGACAGACCTCAGGCCGGCCTTGGCCTCGTGACGGAAGGGATGTCAGCATCAGCACATTGAGTCACGCGGCGGCCCAGGGCTAACGCTGTTAACTGTTAACCGTAAACGCTGTTAACTGTTAACACTGTTAACGCTGCCATGACCTTGAACGGATGGCCAGCTGGACAGTGCAGCTTTGTGTACATTGACACGGTAACGTGTGTACACGCTCCCTGCTGTAGTTAGTCGGTAACAGTTATGGGACGTGAGTGGTACAGCCCAAAGTAGACGGTCACCCAGATAACCTATGGATGTGACATGATCATTTCTTCTGACTTTGATATTGGCAAATTGTGTAAACATACATGATTATTTACACAAGAATGAATACCACTAATATTTCAGCTAGCTGAACTGCTCTGTGTCGCAGCTGCAGCTCCGGGCTGATTCATTCATGTGAAAACGGCCGAACCGCAGCGTGCGTGACACAGTGCCAGACTGCCCGTGATACTGAATGTTCATACTTTCAGTGCCAATGTGCCAGGCAACTGGGTACTTTGACGTCAGGCCTTGGGTAGCGCTGTAACTCACCGTGCACTACGTACTTACAGTATGCGAGGCAGCGCTATATTTTATTAATGAAAACGTTTCCAAAAATTGAAAATTGGATACAAAAATAATTAGTGGATATAAAAAGTGTACATACCCCTGTTAAAATGCCAGGTTTTTGTGATGTAAAAAACCACGATAAATCATTTAAAAACTTTTCCCACCTTTAATGTGACCTATAACCTGTACAATTCAATTTAAAAACAAATCTGTTAGGGGAAAAAATATTAAAATAATAAAAAACGCACAATAAGCTGGCTGCATAAGTGTGCACACCCGTAAGTTAAACTAATACTTTGTTGAAGCACCTTTTGATTTAATTCAGTCTTTTTGGGGACACAGCTGCCATCAACTAAAGTGACTTTGATTAACCCCAAATAAAGTTCAGCTGTTCTAGTAGGATTTTCCAGACCTTTACTCAGTTGCATCCCACAGCAAAAGCCATGGTTCATAGAGAGCTTACAAAACATCAAAGGGATCTCATTGTTGAAAGGTATCAGTCGGAAGAAGGGTACAAAAAACATTTCCACGGCTTTAGATACACCATAGAGCCATTTTTGGTATCATTCTGATCATAGAGGGTGAAGAAAGTGTTTGTATACAATCTTTGGTCCGATTACTTTCTGATTTCCTGCTACTTTTTCCCTGGCCCATGAACGATCGAGGTACACTTGCCACTGAGGGCAACCTCTGTGTTGTAATGATTTTTGTGTGTTTTGAGAAAAGGAAGTCAGGGAAGAAACAGGTGACTTTGTGTTGCGTCCAGACACAGTCTGATCTGAATTTATCACATCAAACATATTACTTTGTTCTACTTGTTGATGTTAATATCTAACTTACAGCCAGTATGTTGTTACTTTACCTTTTTTGCTAACAGGTCCTAACCATTGTATATGTGTATGTATTGGCAGTGTATTGCCTGTTAACTGCGGAATAAATGACTCTCTATACCACCATGCCAAGTGTTTAATATTTAACAGAGCCTGAATCCATTTAATCTATTTTTTTCCCCCAAATATCTTTACTGGAAAAAAAAATGCAATACTATACTTCCACTTACAAAAATACCATTTACTTTTTTCCTTTTTCTAAATAAATATATTTATAAAAAATATATAAAAAAAAAAGGAAAACCACCCTGATATGAATGAAGGAGAAAATAATCAATTTAAATTGCAGAGCACAGTATAATAAACAATGAACAACCCCCCGCCCCTGTCCCCACTCGGCTCACCACAACCACACTACATAGGTATAACCGTAACAGACATGTATTCAGTCAGGTAGTACCTCTAAATTAGTGAAATAGTAAATAAAGGGTTGCCACTTATGGAAAAATTTGACTGTACATCATCTCAATGTGTATTTAATTTTTTCAAGTTTTAAGAAAAACATGGTGTCTTTAAGCCACCTGGAGATAGGAGGATATTTAGCAGACTTCCAATGTATCAATAATAAACGTCTTGCTAATAGGGACGTGAAAGCTATAATATCCTTTTGAGTAGAGTTAAGTGCAAGTGAGCGATCAGGAATCCCAAATATAGCAATCAGAGGGCAAGGTTGGAGAATTACCCCGAGAACAGATGACATAGTAGTAAAATAACCCGCCCAGAAATCCTCCAGCTCAGGGCAAAGAAAAAACATATGGCTAAGGTGACAAGGAGAGCCATGGCATTTATTACATTTGTCTTCCACTTCCGGAGACAGTTCAGGAAGTTGAGACTTAGAGAAATGTGCCCTGTATCCATCCATCCATCCATTTTCTCCCGCTTATCCGAGGTCGGGTCGCGGGGGCAGCAGTCTCAG